TGGAGGCTGTAGAAGAGCCATGGGAGAGGATATTATGGTTTGAGGATTCAGAGGATACGGCGGAGGAGCGTTTTTGGAAGAAGCGGTCGATCCGGGTAAGGATCGATCAGCTCAACCCGAAGGTCTGGTTTGCCTGGGCGAGATTTGATCCATGGACCATAAATTTGATACAGGGACATCATCCCTGCTCGTTCACTTTTGTCGACCCGTGTCACAGCCTTATCGTGCTCTACATAATCGGCTGAGCATGTTTGCTTGTGTACATCTATCGGGTGGCACTGCACTGATGTTTGATGCTCAGCATAACACTGTTTCGTGGTTTTGCTGATTAGGGCTACCTAGGGGTTCAAATCTAACCCGATCGGTGGCAATCGTTGCTAACTAGTCGTTGATCGCTCGGCGTTGGGCCATTCGATAATTTCACTTTAAAAGGATAAAAGGTAAAGGCCTGGTAAAGGTGAAGGCCTTTTAAAGGTTGGGAATTTTCTCTCCATCTACGCTTTTCCCACATCAGCGCCAAAAAAGGATAACAAAAGTAGTGAAAATTATTTACCTCAACACTCCTTGTGAATGGATCGTAAACGACTGCAAATGGACGCTCGAAAGGAACGTGCGTATTCTCTGGAAAACAACAAATATGCATCCATGGAAATAGAAGCATTATAACAGGTTTATTTGCTACTCATGGTGAAACTGGGTAGATTCAGTGGGCGGAATTCAACTGATGATAATAACCACAACATCGGGTTATCATTCGTATGCGGCTCAATTGAGATATTCAGGAAAAATAGGTTCTGTGCGTAAGGCCAGAACACGGCGATGCGCAGTCTTGCGGTATGCCGCGCGCGACATTCTTGTGCGGCAGTGACTTAAGGGGCATCGGTTCCTCTCTAATCCACCTTCATTTGAGTTTGTGCTACATTGCTGCGCCTGTGTGACCCATAGTTCCTCTCACTTTGAAGGGAAGGCACAAATCAACTGACGTGCAGTATCTCGGCCTACGGGGCGCGACAAATGTGCGCGTGGCCGCCCCATAGCCTGGCGATGTGCACCCCACCTGCCAAAAGACTTCCTCTACCAATATTTGCGAAGTTGGTACAATGGCGACTTACCTGAGCTTCGACAGCGCATCTTGAATGCTCTGGGCGACAAAATATAGCGGTTGATAGTCGCTGTCTTCATATTTTTGCACAGCTGTAGTGGCCGGGTCGAACTCACGATGTTCAGGTTTGTCTGAGCAGGCATGCTGAAACATTTTCGGAACAGGTTATCTGCGTATACAGGGAAAATGGGGTTGCACATAAGCCGGACAAGCGCTCTTTAAAAATCAGAGCACGTATGGGCAGGAAACAGTGAACAACCTGAGCTAGTCCTCTTTATTTGAGAGCTCATTTTCAATGAATTCAAGATTTCTTCATTCTAAATTGAATTAATCAAATTTCCTTCGCCATGACCCATTTTTATTTTCGTTTTATTTATACAGCGATTCTTTTGGGCCAAACACCCCTGTCCTTGTGACAACGGTTCCTCGAATTCCACATCAAATGTGGCTACACGCTCCCCACAGGTACAACTCGCCCACATTTTCAAGCAGGTACCCAGCATTTTGATTAACATGACGGTGATTCGCCCTTAAATTCCCTTCTTGGATTTACTCCGAACAAAAAAAAATATAGAAATGTGATTTTTCAAACCATCAGTTCTCCATAAGCAGAAGAGAAGTCCGGCGCCAATCGCTTTCAACTGTCCGTCCTCTCGACACAACCCAAACTCGATAATGAACCAGTAGACCTGAAAAAATCCAGCTGACGCAAGAGAATGGCAAAACTGCTACCAAAACTGCTCACAGGTGGCCAGCTTCTCATTTTTTCGTCGGTAGCGCCCAAACTCATCAGACCGATGTCCTGAACAATGGCTGTTAATAAGTTTATCATTGTCAGTTGTCACAGTGAAGGTACCTGACTCATCTGCGCTACCATGGGATCGGCAAACATTGGCACGTGTCCAAGAAGTTCGTGAATTAGATCTGGTTCAGGTGAATGATGTGGCTTGCTGCCATGCCGTAAGTACTCGTATAACTTCGTATAATGTATAGAGAAGAGAAATATTTACAAGGCTAATCTCAACTAGAGGTTATAGACTAACTTTGAAGCATATCGGAATACTTTTTTAAAAAAAAGTGAATTGCTCCGTTTAAGTGCACTTCGAAATTAAGGGATTAAGTCCCGGCAGGGTTTTTACCTTCGACGCTAATGGCGTGGAACGATGCACTAGCCCTAGTCAAGAGCACGAGAAGAGTAACTGAACAAAAAACATATGGAAAGCCGCTGGAAAGGGAGCTAAACGGCTTCGAAGTGGGCGTGGTTGGAAGTCGGCGAGGGGATTGCAGCCGACTGAGCAACCACGCCCACTTCGAAGCCGTTCAGCTCCCTTTCTAGCGGCTTTCCAAGGTGAGTTTTTTGTTCAGTCACACTTCTTATGTTCTTGACTAGGGCTAGCGCATCGTTCCACACCATATGGTGTTTGGAAGGTGGTAAAAACCCTGCTTTGGACTGTTTGTTCCAAGGGATAACAGGCTCGCCCAACTAGGTACTGCTCCACGATCTTAGCTTCGTTTCAAAATCTTATAGATTTCTGAATGCTATATGACGAAATCACAGCGCGGCTGAGTGCAAGGAGTTTCCTACTGTCCTTTACATTTTTGTCCATTATCCTCTCGGATGAGTTAAGGGGCATGTCCGAAAGAAGGGAACGCTCGGTAAAGTTGAATTTGTGATGTATTGATAAGGGATGTGATCTAGCCGTAGATCATTGTTGTCTAGGGGCTGAGTTCATGCTAGTTCCACAACCTACTGCTACCCAGGGTCAGCCGTCCGTTGAACAATGATCTACGGCGGGTTGGACATGAGATTTTTGGATGAAGGTAGTATTTCAGGAATTTGTGTTCATATTTTGTCATTATGGTGAGGGGACGTCCCATTGGTGAAAGTTAAAGGGTCGCCTTGTAGTGGGTGGGTCTATTTCAGTATTCTATTTGGGTTCTCACTCGTTCAATAAAAAATGCTTAGAATTGATGTACCATGCAGAATGCATGACTTTAAATATTACAAAAATAGCCATGGTGGTGAGGGTGGTGAGAGCGCTGAGGGAGGAAGTCGTATCAGGGCTTCTCCAAGGCGGTGGTGCTGAGGAGTCGTGCAGACTCTTTCAAGGAGAGAGTGGAGGGAGACAGAGAGTGGTAAAAAAAAACTTGTACCGTCGTAATGCAACGGTCAGTCCTGCTGCCGATCCATATGATCCGATTAAAATTCTTACCTGGAACACACGAAACGCCAAGCTGGCCAGGAAATCTCGTGCAGAAAGCAGGCCACTACAAGGGCGAAGAATGAAACCGGTTTTCTCTGGAAAATTGTCAAATTTGCGGGAAAATTCGACTACAAAATTACCCAACTTACTCTGAAGATACTTGTTGACGTCTCTGATCTGAGGAATTTTATTCGGCGTTAAAACACCCTCGTCTTCTAATAGCTTGAGATTCCTCCTAAAAA